TTATTTGTTTCTCTAATAGAATATTTATTTTATTATTATAGGGTAGTTTACCCTTATGTAAAAATTTTTATTCTCATATTTTTCCTTTGAATTAATACTAGAATTATAAATATTTTTGACGACATATTATTGTGATCGAGGGAAAAATATTGTACATCACTTGTGAAAAAGTAATTTTCCTGATTTTTAATGCAATATACGATTATTTGACTAGTCATTTCTAAGTCAACGTGGATAAGTGAAAATAATAGTTTTAAGATATTAACGAACTTTAGAATGAAATGATTTTTATATTAGTATTAAAAAGGCGAAGGGCCCAAATATTATTTTTACGTGTATGAAAGATTTTTACATTGGCAGGCTTGAGAGGCAAAGGGGCCAAATATTTTTACATGGGCAAGCTTAATGGCTAAAAGATTTAAATATTTTACACAAGCAGACTTAAAAGATAAAGAAGCCTAATATTTTTACACAAACCCTAATCAAAAGGAGATATTTAATGGTTATTAAAAACCAGTCTGTTCTACTAAAAAGTTGACTATTAAATAATTGTCAAAACTTTGACTTTATCATTCTTTTAGTGTACCTATTTTTTTAGGCTATTATGTTAGCCTTGATTATATTATTATTCTACTCTTCACACAGTAGTCTGTGAAGAGTATTATAGGTTTACTTTGTCCGTCTGTCCGGTGTCACGTTTTTGTCTGCACGATAAATCAAAAATGAAAATTGATATCAACTTGAAAATTTTAAGCAAAAATCAAGCTCTATAAGGGGACAAGGCCTATTGATTTTTAAAAAATCTGGTTAAAAATAGGGGGTTAAGATGGATTGAAAAAATCCTATTATAAAAACGAAAAGCGACATCATCATGAAATTTTTAGTAAGAATCAAGCTCTATAAGGGGATGAAGCCTATTGATTCTGAAAATATTCTTGTTGAAAATGAGGGTTAAGGGGGTCTGTTAAACTGCGAAAAATATAATTTAGAATGCCACGCATTATATATCTTCATTCTAATTTGTATCAGTGTAATATTATGTATTGTGATGGGACTGATCTTATAAAATAAACATTTTAGTTTACTTGTTTTCTTTGCCACCAAAAGGTATTTAAAAATATATTATTTTATTTGACATGTGTGACAAATTGTGAAAAATTTTTTACACAAAAATCAATATCAAGCGTTCTACATATAACCTGATATATATTTAAAAATATTCTCATAATATGAAGAAAAGCCAGTTGACTAACTAACAATGTTTATAAATGGTTTTCAATGAAAACAAAGCATATATTACAATAGCTAAAATATTCATTTATTCATTCATTAATAGGTGTAGTGCTTTAAAATAGTATGATATTGATAATAATAACTAACTCAAATAATAAAAAAAACAGCGATATGGGCTGGGATTAAATATACATTAAAATGAGTTATTTTTGTTTGGAATCGATAGATAATAGCATTTTTATTTACCCGAGGTGTATTTTTTTAACCACTTTTGGGTCAAAACTTGGTCGAGACACTCAAAAAGTGTTCGTCTCCTGCGGGGCACATTCGTGATATACTGGCCTGGTAACACCTGTGTGCTAAGGCACAGGCCGCAACTGCTTCTCATCGACTTTCGGTATTTCATTCAGAATCAAACCGTTTCTCATTTTTTTTATGTTACGAGTTTGCCCGTGTGGGCCTCACTCTCGATAAGGCGGAAACTGCCAAATTATCATATCTTGAATTTTTAAAGAATTCAGTAATTATAACTTTGCCTCACAAACAAACAAACAAACAAACAAACAAACAAACAAACAAACAAACAAACAAACAAACAAACAAACAAACAAACAAACAAACAAACAAACAAACAAACAAACAAACAAACAAACAAACAAACAAACAAACAAACAAACAAACAAACAAACAAACAAACAAACAAACAAACAAACAAACAAACAAACAAACAAACAAACAAACAAACAAACAAACAAACAAACAAACAAACAAACAAACAAACAAACAAACAAACAAACAAACAAACAAACAAACAAACAAACAAACAAACAAACAAACAAACAAACAAACAAACAAACAAACAAACAAACAAACAAACAAACAAACAAACAAACAAACAAACAAACAAACAAACAAACAAACAAACAAACAAACAAACAAACAAACAAACAAACAAACAAACAAACAAACAAACAAACAAACAAACAAACAAACAAACAAACAAACAAACAAACAAACAAACAAAAACAAACAAACAAACAAACAAACAAACAAACAAACAAACAAACAAACAAACAAACAAACAAACAAACAAACAAACAAACAAACAAACAAACAAACAAACAAACAAACAAACAAACAAACAAACAAACAAACAAACAAACAAACAAACAAACAAACAAACAAACAAACAAACAAACAAACAAAAACAAACAAACAAACAAACAAACAAACAAACAAACAAACAAACAAACAAACAAACAAACAAACAAACAAACAAACAAACAAACAAACAAACAAACAAACAAACAAACAAACAAACAAACAAACAAACAAACAAACAAACAAACAAACAAACAAACAAACAAACAAACAAACAAACAAACAAACAAACAAACAAACAAACAAACAAACAAACAAACAAACAAACAAACAAACAAACAAACAAACAAACAAACAAACAAACAAACAAACAAACAAACAAACAAACAAACAAACAAACAAACAAACAAACAAACAAACAAACAAACAAACAAACAAACAAACAAACAAACAAACAAACAAACAAACAAACAAACAAACAAACAAACAAACAAACAAACAAACAAACAAACAAACAAACAAACAAACAAACAAACAAACAAACAAACAAACAAACAAACAAACAAACAAACAAACAAACAAACAAACAAACAAACAAACAAACAAACAAACAAACAAACAAACAAACAAACAAACAAACAAACAAACAAACAAACAAACAAACAAACAAACAAACAAACAAACAAACAAACAAACAAACAAACAAACAAACAAACAAACAAACAAACAAACAAACAAACAAACAAACAAACAAACAAACAAACAAACAAACAAACAAACAAACAAACAAACAAACAAACAAACAAACAAACAAACAAACAAACAAACAAACAAACAAACAAACAAACAAACAAACAAACAAACAAACAAACAAACAAACAAACAAACAAACAAACAAACAAACAAACAAACAAACAAACAAACAAACAAACAAACAAACAAACAAACAAACAAACAAACAAACAAACAAACAAACAAACAAACAAACAAACAAACAAACAAACAAACAAACAAACAAACAAACAAACAAACAAACAAACAAACAAACAAACAAACAAACAAACAAACAAACAAACAAACAAACAAACAAACAAACAAACAAACAAACAAACAAACAAACAAACAAACAAACAAACAAACAAACAAACAAACAAACAAACAAACAAACAAACAAACAAACAAACAAACAAACAAACAAACAAACAAACAAACAAACAAACAAACAAACAAACAAACAAACAAACAAACAAACAAACAAACAAACAAACAAACAAACAAACAAACAAACAAACAAACAAACAAACAAACAAACAAACAAACAAACAAACAAACAAACAAACAAACAAACAAACAAACAAACAAACAAACAAACAAACAAACAAACAAACAAACAAACAAACAAACAAACAAACAAACAAACAAACAAACAAACAAACAAACAAACAAACAAACAAACAAACAAACAAACAAACAAACAAACAAACAAACAAACAAACAAACAAACAAACAAACAAACAAACAAACAAACAAACAAACAAACAAACAAACAAACAAACAAACAAACAAACAAACAAACAAACAAACAAAAACAAACAAACAAACAAACAAACAAACAAACAAACAAACAAACAAACAAACAAACAAACAAACAAACAAACAAACAAACAAACAAACAAACAAACAAACAAACAAACAAACAAACAAACAAACAAACAAACAAACAAACAAACAAACAAACAAACAAACAAACAAACAAACAAACAAACAAACAAACAAACAAACAAACAAACAAACAAACAAACAAACAAACAAACAAACAAACAAACAAACAAACAAACAAACAAACAAACAAACAAACAAACAAACAAACAAACAAAAACAAACAAACAAACAAACAAACAAACAAACAAACAAACAAACAAAAACAAACAAACAAACAAACAAACAAACAAACAAACAAACAAACAAACAAACAAACAAACAAACAAACAAACAAACAAACAAACAAACAAACAAACAAACAAACAAACAAACAAACAAACAAACAAACAAACAAACAAACAAACAAACAAACAAACAAACAAACAAACAAACAAACAAACAAACAAACAAACAAACAAACAAACAAACAAACAAACAAACAAACAAACAAACAAACAAACAAACAAACAAACAAACAAACAAACAAACAAACAAACAAACAAACAAACAAACAAACAAACAAACAAACAAACAAACAAACAAACAAACAAACAAACAAACAAACAAACAAACAAACAAACAAACAAACAAACAAACAAACAAACAAACAAACAAACAAACAAACAAACAAACAAACAAACAAACAAACAAACAAACAAACAAACAAACAAACAAACAAACAAACAAACAAACAAACAAACAAACAAACAAACAAACAAACAAACAAACAAACAAACAAACAAACAAACAAACAAACAAACAAACAAACAAACAAACAAACAAACAAACAAACAAACAAACAAACAAACAAACAAACAAACAAACAAACAAACAAACAAACAAACAAACAAACAAACAAACAAACAAACAAACAAACAAACAAAACATATTGTACTTGCTGTAGTGTAGCTATCAATTGTTTTCAATATGTGCATGGTTATTCCCCTTCCAATAAAGATGTTAACAATGCACTGACCTTACTTGGAATGTTGCATCTCAGTTTCTCAGTACGACTCTTTAGTCGTCTAGTCAGGCAGTTTGGTTTGTAAGTACCTAGTGGGTATAGTGTAGCCAGTCATAATAAAAAAAAATATATTTTGAAATCTTTGAAAACATTTTACGGTAATCATAAATAAATTGAATATTTATTTAAGCGCACGACTCTGGCTTACAACATACACCATTAAAATTTATAATAATGATGCGCTTTAAATTATTTGATTGATCAAGGTCTGGTGTTTAGTTGGAGATACCCATTTGTTATCAAACGTAATTTTTAATAATGTACAGCAAAGGAGTGTGGTTGAAACGATTTATCAATAAAAACTTATTGAGTTGCTATAAACGAAACATTTTGAATTTGAGAACTTTTTCTACTAACAATGTTAATTCTAACGTTTTGACTTGTGATAGTGGTGATGTTGATTTACCTGACTCGACAATACCGGAATTTATTCTACCCAAATTGGAGGAGTACCACAAATATACTGCATCAGTAAGTACAGTTGTAGTTAATTTTATTATCTGCTGTTTCTCTTTTAAAACAACATCAAAAGAATCTAGCGGTGAGCAATCACAGCGCCGGACTCTATATATGATTTGTATATATTCATTATTTTGTTTGGATATATTAAGTATAGCGAATACTTTAATAGGGAATGAACAAATTTTATAAAAGGTATTTTGAGTTTAATGATTCTTTGATAATAAAATGCATTATTTGTAAAATTGGTTGCGTAAATTGAAAACAAAAAAAACAAATTAAGAATTATCATCACCTCTGTCATCTTCACTTGACGTGTCTTCCAAATTTATGATGCAAGAATGACTCAGAAATATTCGATAATTGGGAAAAATATTGATACCTTCTTATCTGAATTTTCACTAGATTTTAGTATGACCACCCCGAATAAAATACATCATAAAATGTAAATGGTCAATCCCTTAGGGATTAACCAATAATTCTATACCTCGGTGACGGGGAACACGAAATTACTTTAATATGAAAAATAGTAAACTGTCAAAATTAAGTACCCACATTTATTTTTATAAAAATAGTATATATTAGGTTAGGATATTTCCTTAAAATTTAATAATAAATATACACACAACCAAATTTACATGATATACTAAAAAAAATCTGTAAAAAAATATTTCCTCATAAAACACTCACATTTCATTTTCAGGAATACGGGGTGATTCCATATAAATTTGTTTGTTTTACTAGCGTCATTTAAACTTATTATAATCAATATAAATATAGAGTTACATACCTAAATTATACACTGCGCTCCCTTCTTCAGATGATAAGTAAACGTAGTACTCATTTATGAGTTAGTTGTCCAAAGCCAAAACTTATAACCTCACTTTCTATGTAGTTCCCGCCTTTTGCGGGCCTGGCTCACTTTTCATTTTGGTGCCAAGTTGTGTACACACGTCAAATCAAAAATGTTTTAAATTTTAATAAAATATAGGAAAATATTATTATACATAAACAGAAACGTTCGACAACGACTCAAAATTGTGTCATTTAAGTAAGAAGGTAAAAACACTTAAGAAACAACAAACAGAAAGGAAGAAATCTTAAACAGCGGTGAGCGACTCTAATGAAGAAAATCACTAACGTAAATAGCAGAATATTTAGACATAGAAAATGCCGTTCATCCAGTTTTAGTTCTCTGGCAGAACAACCAGAGATAATTTATTTATCAACAGAAGGATGCAGGTAGGTTAAAAATAAATTAATTGTTTTAGATTACAAAATAAATTGAAGACGGACGATGGTAAACTGGACATTTTTTCTTTCTGACCACATAACTTTACATGTGATTTCAGATAGTGCCATAACTCTATTTAAACATTATTTAAAACCCAGTGCGGGTTTATAATTAATCCAGTGCGGATTAAATAGACTAAGTGTGAGTCTAGGACCCAGTGAGGATCCCAGGTTCAGTGCGGACCTGTTAAATCATAAAGGCCAAGTAGATACTGATTTTTTGATAGCAGTGCGGGTTTATAATTAATCCAGTGCGGATTAAATAGACTTAGTGCGAGTCTTGGACCCAGTGCGAGTCCCAGGTTCAGTGTGGACCTGTAAAAACTAATTTTTTAATAGCATTGTCAAACATCTGGCAAATGCAGGAAAACTGACTTTTTTCTTTCGAATCACATTACATGTGATTTCAGGTAGTGCCATAACTCAGTGAGAGTCATTTTTATATGGTGGACGATGGTAAACTGGACATACTTTTTTCTTTTGAATCACGTTACATGGGATTCCAGGTAGGTCATAACTGAGTGAGAACTTTTTATATAGCGGACAATGGCTAACTAGACATACTTTTTCTTTTGAATCACATTACTTTACATGGGATTCCAAGTAGTGTCATAACTCGGTGCGAGTTTTTTTTTATAGAACCCAGTTCGGGTTTATAACATTAAATAAATTCAGTTCGAGTCTAGGACCCAGTGTGGGTTCCAGGTTTAGTGTGGACCTGTTAAATTACTAAGACAAAAAGATACTGGTTTTTGATAGTGTTGGCAAACATCTAGAAAAATTTTATATTGCGTATGCTGGTAAATTGAACATACTTTTTTCTTTCGAGTCGATTTAATTTACACGTGATTCCAGATAATAACAAATCAGTGCGAGTTTCATCATGAACCCAGTGTGGTTTAATGACAAATCTAGTGCGGATTAAATACAATGAGACTATAAGACCCGGTGGGTGTCCCAGATTTAGTGAGGACATGCTAAAATCACTAAGGTAAATAAGATACTGATTTTTTAATAGTGTTGTCAAATAAATAGAAACGTTTTATATGAATGCTAAGAATATTGTTCACGTAATATTGGGAGATATTACTATGTTCAGTTACTTACATCCAACCATTTGTGAATTGTAATTATTTGCATTTTGTGGTTCTACTTTGAGTTTTCTTTTAAGACTTGAATCAAAAAGAAGATCACCCTCGTAATGAAAGGCCATTGCTAAAGGAAAGTATCCTTAAAAATCTGGGCAGTGGAGGAGTACTGTTGTAGTTATTCAAAAACATCTTAGGTTCAGGACTAGATACATTTACAAATCACGGCTTGTTTCCATATATCCTTAAATTGCCTTTTGATGACGTCACCCAAAGTCAACCCAGAGAGTAAGGCAGCAGATACCAATACAGCTCTTACTTGGTAAGACACTCATCTTAATTCTGAAACTAGAAGAAATCTTCTCAAATTATAATTTAAAAATGACCCCATGGAAATAATAGGGAAGGCTAAGTTGAGACCAAAGCAAATCTGCTAAAGCTATGCCTAAGTTAATGGTACCACGTAAGACAGTAAAATTCAAAAGTTTCTCCGGATAATAGAAGTACTCATCCCCAGGTTAACACCAAGAGAAACCTTGAAACAGACATAGAGACATCAACCCAAACAGAGCCATTCACACAACAGAGCTCGCCTTCTTGAGTGAAAACAAGTGTACAAGCAGGAGATCTAAGTAAACACTACAGATTCTGGAGAGATATCTGAGACGATCTGTTTGTAAGGTCTTATACATTAAAGGTTAATTCTTGAATTTTGTCTCTCTGCCTGTACAAAATATGATTCCTACTAAACCTGTCAACCTTTAATTGAGTATCAGTAGATCTTATCAGAAATAAATGATTTACTTGAGATTAAGACCATCCACTCTTATAAGCCATCTAAGGAACAATATACATATATCCAATATTTTCTTAGTGAAGAAATCAAATGGAAAATTTTGTTTAGAATCGGAATAAGCTCATATAATTAATATCAAGATCTCAAGCAAAAGTATTTAAGATTCTTTTTCAATAATATTTTTAGCAAAATTGTGAAGTCTCTGATATCCACTCTTAGAGATAATGAGTTGTTATCTGTAGAATATACCTAGATGATTCTATACTATTGGAAAAATCTTTTAAATACTGTAAACAAAATACTAAAGATATTTCGTCTAGTTTATTATTAGGGTTTATAATTAACAAGTACAACCTCCAGCCTTATTTTTTTAGATTTTAATTCGACAGTAACGACCATGTCTCTCACTGAAATAAATAGAATACAGATTTTAGGTTTGCTCAATTATTTCAATTTCTGTTCACTTAAAGATGTTTCTAGACTGAGTGGGAACTAATTAATAAGGCATATTTTACATAAGTGTATGGGGTATGTCTCATGGAAGAAATGCCCTTATCCATCCATTGGCACATTTACCTTAGATTCGTCATTCTGCATTTTTTCCTTCAATAATTCAGAAAATTATAAATTATTTCGAGTTTTACTCTTTTGCCATGAATGAACATGCCTCAGGCGTGGTAGTAGTACTCTTTTTGTACTACCAAACCTTGGTGGCACCTGTTCAAAACTAATTAAATTCGACCCTGGTCCGTTACTTTAAGTATCTGTCGACAGAACTCCACATCATTTGGCAAAAAACCTTTCCCTCGGGCAGGATTTTATCCAACAGGCATTTGCCCCAAAGCGCCCGGATTCCAATACTATTGAGATTATGCTGTCATCTATTTCAACTGTACCTTAAAAGAATATATGGTGGAGTTGAAACTTTGGTGGAAGTTTTGTATAAGAGAGAACAGACTCCTTCACAGGTGATATGTAAGATTTTAAATTTTTGCAAGGACGGTTTCAGGAGGGTTTAACATATACGGGTCATATAATAACTATAGGTCAGCACTTTCGTTAATTTTGTCACTGGACATTGCTCTGGACTTTAGGGTCCAAGGTATGACTTAACTTGGAGCCTATTAACAATACTGAATACCTTCAGGGATTGGTGTTTCAATAAAGAAATCCCTGTTATAGAATTATCAGAAAAATTAGTGATATTATTAGCATTATTTACTGCACATAGTCTTATTAAATTAGAATATATTAATTGTAGAACTGATAGGGTCAAGTCATCAGGTAGAAACAAATTACAACAGTCTTCAACTCTCCCTTTCAGACTTTAAGTCATTGAGTAAAATGGACTGAACTAAGATTCACAGCAGGCTGGACAAGTAAATCTTCTGTTTTGCCGTTTCATAATCGGCCTATAAGGCAGGATCCCACCTCTTTTGCAGAACTCATTCTAATTTAGTTTATTGTGGATTAAACTTTCGTTTGTTTTTGTTACACTTGTAAACATTTTTATAAAAGTTTATTGAAAATTGCCTCGTTTCTTGTAGTAGCAACTGTCATTAAACATCTACTTTTACTTATCATCTGAAGAAGGCAGCGCAGTGTATAATTATAAGATCAAACGATCACCTTAAGCGTAGTTCGATCTTGATCTGCGCTCCCTCTGAATCCCAGATCATCGCAGTTACGACAGAGCTTTAAAAATAGTGAGCCACGGCCGTACAAGGGGGAACTGCATATAAAGTGAGGTTATAAGTTTTGGCTTTGGACTATGGTGCACAACTAGCTCATAAATGAGTACTACGTTTACTTATCATCTTCGAAGGGAGCGAAGTGTATAATCAAGATCGAACTTCACTTAAGGTAAGTTCGTTTGATCTTATAATAAATAAGTCGTTTTCTCCTGATAAGAAGTCATCATCATCATCAGTTTCCCACAAAAAGAATAGTAAATTCTATTGTTTCCTCTATTAACATATCAAGTTTCCAGAATTTATCTGCTTCTGCTATGACATGTCTCATAGCGTTTTGGCAATTATTGTCCGGTGAAATTTCTGATATTAGTTAAGCATCTTGAAGTTTAAATGTTATATTGTTCTTCGCGACATATCCCTTTATTTGAGTCCAGATTAGTGCACAGTGATAAGGTGGTCACTTCTACACTTTGGCTCCATGTTCTTCTGTTATTTCATCTACACTATATTTCTTAAATTTTGGTGAATGTTGTTTACAATAACTCCTTTTTGAGTAATCCCTTTTCTGCCACTATTTCTTTGGTTATTAGCCAATTGGAGAGTTCTTGCTTTTTCCATTTAGTGTTCGGTAACGGTTCCTTTAATCTTGAATGGTAACTGACATTGTCCATAACTATTACAGAATTGGTCGGTAATAAATCTATCATTTGACTGAAATATTCCTCAAAAACATTAGCATTCATTTCTTCATGGTGGCCTTTCGTACAATTTGAACCAAATTCTAACAAGCCTCTATCCACAAATTCTTTGTCTCCTCCAATATGAGTGATAATTAAACAGCGACCCTTACCATTTTAAAATTTTAAACCAGTAGACAAACCTTTTATAAATGCCTGACGAGTATTTGTAACCTGTTTATCTTGCCAAACTTTATTTACAAAATGTCCTTCATTTATCTAACTCTATATTTATATTAATTATATAAGTTTATGTGACTGTAGTACCCGAAATACAAACAAACAAAAATGATATGGAATCACCCCGTATTTCTAAAAACGAAATATGAGTATTTTATGAGAAAAGATTTTTTTGCAAATATTTTTTAAAGTATCAAACAATTTTAGTTATGTGTATATTTATTATAAAATTTTAACCTAATTATATAGTATACTATTTTTATTGAAATAAAAATGTGGATACTTAATAGTTACAGTTTACCATTTTTTATATTAAAGTAATTTTGTGTTTCCCGTCACTGAGGTATAGAGTTATTGGTTATCCCTTAGGGTTTTCTCATTTATATTTTATGTATTCGAGATTTTTCGGGGTTTTCATACTAATATCTAGTGAAAATTCGGATAAGAAGATATCAATATTTATTTTTTTCTGCTTTGAACAATCCTGTATATAGACCTTTGCCATAAAAACTGTGCTATCATGCATTTTCAAATAAACTATAGACACATACACGATGTCTCCAAAGAGAAAGTTAGGGAGGTGACTGCAGACATTATTTGCAGATGAAAATGTCTATAAAAGTATTTTAATTGCTTCGTTATTGAGATACAGAGTGTTGAGTAACTTAAAAAAAAAAAAAAAAAAAATAGAGACGATATTTAGATTTAGTAAAAGTTTTATGAACTGTCAACAAAATTATTCAGGCAACAATTAAAGCTAGTTAAAAATTAAATTACCAGAATTACCCATTTTAATAATGCATTTTTCGAAGTAGATTTTAAAATTTTATCAAAAAGATTATATTAACAAAAACGCTAACTAATGAAATTTCGACGATAACACTCATTAATGGGTAATGACCTTATTATTTTTTGATTTTACTTGATAAATAAATACCGATAAAACCTTTTAATAAAATTAGTTGTGATCTGATAATTGATAATAACACAGTGTCATGGCTAAAAGTTAATAACTTAATACACAATAAACAAAATATGGAAAAAATATGACTTTATTACAAAATTAATATAAACTAAAATAAATAAATAAATAAGTATATAGGGAGCTCCGCCAGAAATATATTCATGTGTTCAAGGAAAGCAATACGTCAATGTAAATTCTTGTTTAATTCAGAATCGTAAAAATCCGTCAAAAACTTAAAATCAAAAAAAATCATCATGCTTCTTATAGGGGAGAGTGGGGCCCATTGATACACGGGCAATATTGGAACGTTCGAGTGCCATTCAGATCACTTAATTTTGATAAAATTTTTCCTGTTATTTATTTCTAGGAATGCGCAACGACAGGAAGAAAATACACCTTCGGACAGGTCAGAAAGAAATGCAAAAACTTGAACAAAGCCATTCGCCATATTTTCAAATTGCAAAAAGGCGACGTAGTAGCCATTTTGTTGCCAAATTGTCCCGAATTCGCCATTTCTGCGCTAGGAATACTGGAAGCAGGATTAGTTCTTACCACTTTAAATCCCATTTACACTCCAGGTAAATCTAAATATACAACACATAAAACGAGTAGATATAGAGTAAAGTTAGGGAATATCAACCACCTAGAAGAAACAAAATAAATTAAACGGATTTAGAAATATCAAAATGTATATTCTTTTTATCATTATCCTTATTTCTACTAATTTCACCACAAACGGAACATTTTTCGTCTTAGTCGCTCTTAATTTTAACTAATTTTTGTTTGCCACGTACTCTAAAAGTGGAAATGTTTGCTTATTACAGACATTTTGAACTTTTTCATTCTATTTACGATTTAAATATTGCTTAAGAGAACATACATATTAAACAATAACATTTTTGTGACAGTACCTATTTATGTTTTTCATAGCTTCTAAATCTCATCACCGTCTTGTGTTACAGATGAAATATCAAAACAATTGATTGATTCGTCGGCCAAAGTCCTGATTACCCAAGTACAAGGTGTCAACAATGCAAAAGCAGCGGTTCAATTAACTCAAAAACATATACCAATAATTGCAATAAAAAGACTAGTAAGTATGTTAAAGAATATTTTTGTTTTAATTTCTAAATGGATGGGACAATATCTTGTCACTGCTACCCATTATGTATTACTCATGCCTATGATTAACCCTGCCTGACCTTTAGATACATATGAAGAGCCTAGAAAAATAGCGTCATCATTCCAAAATCAGAAAAAATTAAACAATATACAGTCCATAAGTTTATTATAATTATTCAATAAATGAAGTAATAATATTAACTGAGATTATAGGCTCTTTTAACTGACCCTAAAGTCCATTCTTAGCGATAACACACGGCTAGGGGGTTAAGTTCAGACGGGATGGGCCTAAGGAACCCTAACTTCCTGACGATGATTTAGAGGGCGGGAAAAGGGTTTGCCCTACAGGTGCTTTTCCCTTTGGCAGTATCTCTCTCTCTCTATCTCTCTCTTTCTCTCAGAGATTTGACTAAGCCAATACGCCCATCTTTGAGTGATCGTGAGTTTTCATAAACCAAAAAAATTGAAACAAGCGTAAAACAAATAACTATGATTTATTTTACAAATATAGAAACAACTAGTATTACTTCAGCAATTCAGTAGTCTTTGCTGACTACACAAAACTAAATATTACTACTCACAACTATTTACTTACATGAACATTATATTTTAATCCGTTAGGGTGCAGGGCTGGCTGAGGCACATGTTATTTTTCCCACTATGTGGCTATACAAAAAAAACTAACCGCAATTTCGCGTGACCGACCCGTGATTCTACTTTCCGACATAAAAAAAGGAATTCACTTGTAATTTTCCAAGAATGCTGGTCTTTCTTGAACCAGTACTTTAATATTATGATTTAATAAAACCTTGTCCAACTACACGTTTAATTTTTTTATTGAAAATCTATTTAGTGCCCGTGCCCTTGGACAAAACTTTACAAATCATAACATACCTATTAACAGGGTGTTATATTTATTCGTAACAATAAGGAATACTGGCTGATACAGAGTGAATTCCTTCATTATAAATACTTAATTTGCGCTTGTAATTTACTAGATTTTTGGGGAATCTAAAACTTTCTCAAATCACTAATGTTTAAATAGTTTTTTTAGCTCTTCAACACAAAAAGCATGTGGTTGTCAAACCAAGTCAAACGTTAAAAAAAACCAAGTGACACCTAACATAAGTGTAAAAGGGTTTGTCGCTTGGATATCCTTAAACAAATTGAAAAGGTCCTTGTTAAATAAAGGCTTTGCTATCATGTAAGATTGTTGGATAGTTCTCTTTCTACATAATATATATTGTAAACTACATTTCATCAAATTTCTAGAGGTGTTCGACGCCCAGACAGAGAACGCGCTACGTGTGACTAAGATAGCTATTGTACAGTCTGCTAAACAAGTTATTTTAAATAGTTTTTAATATTTTTAGGTAATTAAATTTTAAAAGTGTGGAATAGTTTAGGGATTAAATTGGTCTGATTGGACTTTCTTAGAACGTTTTTAAAAGCAGCTAAAGATAGTATGTAGAATTGAAAATAATTATTATGCCATAAAAGGTGTTTTGGAATTCCTTCAACCTTTTGAAATTGAGTCAGAAAATATAAATTTTATAGGATAGCGGAAAATACCTATAATTTTTTTGTAGGCCTTTGTAAATCATGGAAATAGTTTATATTTTATTTCTACTTTATTAAGGAAAATGGTACCTATTATTAATAACGGTTGTTTCTGAAACATTACTAAAATGTTCGAAATTTTGTTTTTCTACAAAATAATAAACTATACTATTTAGAAAAAAAATTAATTCTCTTATAATTTTATAAAAAATAATAGGGGAGTATTTACATTTCTTGATCTATTAAACAAAACGATAAATTATCTCGACGAATGACACCATGTTCTAGTACGGAAGCTAGCTTTACATTTTTGTTGGTGGTTTCATGGGTTTCATATCAATTTTTTGTAATTGTAGTTTACACGTACATATACCTCTTAACACTTGTTTGCTTTATTAAAAAAGTGTGTTGTTGTGATTTACGTCGAAATAAGTCAAAAACAACTTGAAACCCCATGTAAAAACAAAAAAGAGAAACGGAAAAAAAATGAGCCTGTAAATGAACACAACTCAGAAACAAAAATAGCTATCTAATAATAAAAAAATAAAATTTGATTCTTGTGCAGCTTCATCTATATCATTAACTGTTTTTGGTTTTTTACTGGTTTTTCTTGGTGATGAAAATTCCGATATCTCACGGTTATCGATTCTTTTTTTCTCTCCAGAAATGCGGACGACAGTGTTTTTAGATACTCCTGTGGCTGCAGCAACACGATCATTTACATTTTTAAATGGTATTGAAGGTGAATTAAAGTTTCCTTCTCTTCTCATAAACTCTATAACATTGGCTATTATTTCGCGAGATTGACTGTTAGTCACGCGGCCTCTTAATTTGCTATTAAACTCCATACTTAGGTTCTATTAAACTGTAATGAGCAAAAAACACAAACGAAAATAAAAGAAATGTTTTAGCGAAATTTACATCTGACATTTACGTCTGAATGAAATAGTGAAATACTTGATGCGCAGAGTGTACTTTCATTGCGTAAATCCGTCGGGATGCCTGTCAGTAGTGCTTTCTCTGTCTAGCCGTCGAAAGCCTCTAGAAATTTGATGATCTGTACTCTATCAAATGGTACCGTTAACTCAACTTTCGAACTTTGACGTTTGGTTCCTTTTTATTTAAGACTTTGGAAAACTGCCCGTTAGGCATAATAATCATTTTCTCCACATTCTTCAGATAGTTTTATATTTGTAACAAACAAATATAATTTTTTTATAGCAAAATGACAGTATTCCTGAAGGAGTCATCGATTTTGAAGAACTCGTTAATAATAATGATATCTCTATATCGGATGCAGATCACGTAAAATCTAGTGATTTGGCGTTTTTGCCTTACTCCAGCGGTACTACTGGATTACCGAAGGGTGTAGAATTAACTCATCACAATATTATTTCAAATTTGTGCGAGATAAGCCACAAGGACTACAATTACTTCGACCCACCGACAGGTAAGGTATTTATCTCGGTATTTAAAGTTCAACAAGATAATAGCTGAAACTGTGAATGACAGATGTGCTGTAGCGAACAATAATATATTATGTGATCTGGTTAACTTTAATTTTGTTTTTGTTTTTTAAATATCCAATTTAATAAAAAAAAAGAAATATGAGTGTATTAGGTAGACTCTAACTAGTGTTTTCGGTTTTTAGAAATTTGAATAAACCAAAAAATTGTTGGGTTAAAAGAGAAGAGTTAAAGTTGTTCAAATTCGTTTAAATTTGATAGGTGGGCAGAAATCTGAAAAAGGAACAATTTTTTTTAATATTTTTATGTTTTTCTTTTCTAAATTTTGAGAAATAACCTATGTATGAAATAAGTTACTTATGTATATTTTTTGAAAATATGTCAAATTTTGACAGGTATAGCCAATCTATAAAAAAATGATGAACGTCATTTTTGTTTTGTTTAAAGCAAAAACTGTACATTAATTCTAAATTAGTGTTAACTAAATACAAAAAAATTAACGGCGACACTGTACATTGTAAATTGCTCAACCATAATTAAATAAGACAATCAAAGGCGAACATGTTACAAACAACAAATCATTAACATAACCGATTTAGAATTTGGAATATTTTAGTTTTGTATGTATTTAGCTTGGATTTTATTGTCATTAAATTTTTTAGACATTAATCGTGAACATTTAGTCAAAAATAGACCGTGGAATAAATATCATTTATAAAACAAGTTCTTGAAAAGAATCCGCATTTTTAATTTTCAAGAACATAACTAGTATTAATTTTATTTTATTTATTATGGTATGGTCCAATAATAAGCCAACAACTTTTACAATTAATTGTCATTAACTGTCTACAATTAATAATAATAATTATTATAAGCATGGGTGTATTTAAATATTTTTAATAAAGTTTTTTAAGTAGATCTGGTGAACACACATTCACATGTATAATATATACAGTGTGTTTCATAAAGTTGGATCCATTTGGGATTTCTTTTTAATATTACGATCGGAATATACCTAATATCGCAGGGCAATTATTACCTCTGCTTATTTAAAAACTTAAAATAGCCCATATCAATGTTGAGTACTGACATTACCTTTCTGTCAAATTCGCAACAAAAAAAGGCCATTTTTGAACTCTTTTTCACAAACATACTGAATTTGACAGATAACTAATGTAGTAGTCAACTTTTTTATGGCTATTTTAAAAAAAGCATATGGATTCAATTTTAAGGCACACACTGTATGGCATATTTAGCGTAAATTTGGAATCTAGGTTATGCTGTAGAGCTTACATGATTGGGCATGCTAAATGAAAGGGAGAATCTGCAAGGTGACATTTTTTTAGGGTTCATGCCTCTCTTTTCTCCCCCTGAAATTTTTTGCGGTGCGCCACTGGTAGATTCTAAAATACAAATTAATTTTCTATTTTGTTTATAAACTTTTAGGTGACCATCATTATGTACAGGTTCATTCATTATAAATTACACATCCCTTATTATCGTTATTATTGCATATAGAAAAATAGTTTTTATTAAAAGTTTTCTGGTTATGACTGAATTTTGTTAAAATGTTATCAAAAGTACAGAAGCGTGTATACTTCAGGGGATACGAAAAATAATATTTTTCTACGAACTTTTACAAAAAGACACAGGATACTTTCAGCGAAAACTTGATTTCCGTCACTAGTGAGAAAAATCCCATAACGTTTACTTTCGTCTCTAGTGACGAAAGTAAGTTGTTACATATTTTCATATATCAGTCGCCTCGTATAATATTTTGGCAGCTTATAATTATTAATAATGAAATAAAAAGATGCTCATTAAATTCTATATGCGTTTTTACCTAAACTTTAATGAATTAAAGATAAAATAAAAATGTATAAAAATAGTGCAAATTAAACCAATCTACATCTAGTTTCCTGGTTTTCATTTGTTTATTTGAAGTTTTATCACTTTTGAGAACTCTCAGTTTTAGTTCGTCCTAAATTTAACACATTTTCATGATGTCTGAGTCAGAAAGCGATTGTACTCCCCCAGAAATTATTTTTAAAGCTGAAGAAACCTCTTCAGATTTATTACCGGCCAAATCAAAAAAGTGATATGAAGAAATTTATATCAAATTTTTGGACTGGAGAGAAAAAAATAAAGTGAAATCATTTTCGGAAACTGTACTACTAGCATACTTTGGAGAAATATGTTCAAATTTTAAACCGTCGACGTTATGGTCCATTTATTCGATGCTAAGAACTACACTCTCTGTTAAAAATGATGTCGATATTAGTAAATATCCAAAGTTACGTTCGCTTTTGAAAAGAAAATCTGATGGTTTTAAAAGCCAAAAATCCAAAATTTTTTCGCCTGAAGACATAAAGACTTTCCTAAAGAATGCACCTGACTATAAATATTTAATAACAAAGGTAACGGAATTATTATTTTTATTTTAACAAATACTTAATACATAACTACTAATATTTGTAGGTAGCATTAGTTTTTGGATTATCTGGCGCTTGTCGTTGCCACGAACTAAAAGATTTAACAATAAGCGATGTAAAGGATACTGGAAGTATTCTGTTAGTTAAAATCCGTAATACAAAAACAAAAGTTCCGCGTTCTTTTCATATTTCTGGACCCTTTTATGATATTTCTAAAAAGTATATGAGCCTACGTCCCGCAAACATGGATCAAATTAATTCAAGATTCTTTATTAACTATCAGAATGGAAAGTGTAGCAGACAGGTTGTTGGAATTAATAAAATCAGTAAATTTCCTAACGAAATTGCTCAGTTTTTAACGCTTCCGAATCCTCAAGATTACACTGGGCACTGTTTCCGCAGAACATCCGCAACGCTATTAGTGGATGCAAGAGGTGACTTGCTTCTGTTAAAAAAGCACGGTGGTTGGAAATCTAGTAGTGTTGCGGAAGGATATGTTAATGAATCCACGAACAGTAAAAACCAAATACAAACCAAAATTTTACAATCTGTACAAAATAAGGAAACTACTAGTTCATCCGATTGTGGCGCATCATCATCTGAAATTACATTTAACAGTAGAAAAAATATGTCGGCATCTACCTCAATAAATAAAAAGCTTGAGTGTGATACCCCCATAATTTTGAACAATTGTTCAAATATAACAATAAATCAATATTTAAATAATAAATAATATTTCTGAAATATTTATTTGTTGGTTAATTTTTTGTTATTCCTAACACAAAATAAAGCATTTGCTAACGTTTGTTTTTTTTTTTCATTTTAGTAGGTACCTACATGACATAATAGAGTTCGTAGAAAAAGTATAGTGTTTACTCGTCGAAAATCATTTTTTTCGTCACTCGTGAAACAATATACTATTTTTAATGGGATACGCTATATTATTACATTTTTGGAATTATCTTTTTTTATGATTTAATAAATATATATGTTACCCCTAACCTATGCCGTTTTTAAGTCATTAAACGTCAAATATCTTAGTTAAACTAGTTACAGTACATATGAAAAGTTAATATTATTAAAGTAAATTATGAATATGACAACTATTATGATTCATGATACCAAAAATTATAGTATCATATTTTGATTGACTAGTGACAATTATTTAATGAAAAAAATGGTTTACACTCAGGAAAAAGTTTAAATATTTGTATACAATAGAGAACAGAGATTTATTTAGGAAACATAAATAAATAATAACTCACAAAATATGTTTGATGTGTCCACCACATGGAGGTAGAAATGGGAAGGAGATGCAATCACGTGGCCAGAAGTGTCACTACGTCCGCCATATTGGTGCTACATTTCCTTCACTTATAACAGTTTATTTTGTGATATATTGTTTAATCTTTTTATATACTTTTATTTAAACTATTTGTGATAAAAAACATTAAAAGAACAATGGCGTTGTGTGCTAAGCGGAATTTCCCTAGTAGGGATGGTGTGGATAAAAAGAAAATCTCAAAAATATACAGTCCATAAGTTTAAACACAGTACAGAGCAGTAATAAAATAATTATTTTCAGAATTAGATTAAATTGTTTTTTTATCATCGACAGTAAAAAATAAACATTAGAAACTATATGCTATATTAGCACACAACATTTATTTAAAAAATAAATACAATTATTAGTTTTAGATTTCCACGTGATCTAGAACGAAGTAAAAACAGAAGTTCTTGGTTACCTACCAAGTAACACACAAAGTTATAAAATGTTGGTATAATTAATTAAAACGTTACAAAACACGCGCAAACGACACGTTAAATAACTTAAATTTTTATAACTAATACTTTGATAAGTAAAATTTAATTAGAGTTGTAACAAGGTTAATTTATAAAAAAACAACAACTAATTAAGTTGTTTTGAAATGTACAATATATGTGGTTGTTATAACGTTTCTATGACGTTTTAATACCGTTGGAAACTGTAGTTATTATTATGTTTACCCAGAAAATTATTGTGGTTAATAGAACTATTAGAAACTGCTTAAGTGGTTCTTTTGTTTTAAATTATATAATACACCGTTATTATAGAAGTACAATGGTTAAATGTGTATATTAATAGATCCCTAGAATTTATTATTATCTTGCTGAGGTTAGGAGTTAGGAATAACTGCTCTCTAAATTTTATAAGAGAATTATCATGTATCCGCTGTACTTACCTATACAATAAAACCATCAGTTGTTATCAACAGTAATATTCTGAATTGAGCTTCTTACAATAATTTATAAGATAGTATATAAAAAGAAATAACTAATAAAGAAAGAGTAAAAAAATATTGCAACATGGAAACTGACATGAAAATCGGTACCAATAATTAAAACTATGTGCAATAACAAATTAAGCAGGTACTTACCACATAGCATATAAATGAATTAATAAGAATAATTAAATGCACAAATAAAATTAAACAATTACCAAAAGATGCAAGAACCTTATTGCAAATGAACATAGTTTTTATGGGACCAGAACCCAATGGTATACAAGGTGT